ATTATGTCAACCCTTTGAGCCCCAAGTAATTAATTTTTCAAAATCTAATGTTATTTATTCTCAATTATTATTACTTTTCATACAAAATCAACATAACGAAACATACAATTTTCTACAATTCCAAATCTACAAAAAAGCCCTGGTTACACCACAAAACCATTGGGAAAGTTGGTCAGTGTCCGTTACTTTCCATGATATTCATTAAAACAGTTCTTGCTTCCATTCAAACAGAGTCCTACACCACAAATTTTGCGTGACCATTTCGTATGATGTGGAGCAATGGCAGTGCTGCATTGTGCACATCGGCGAGATGTGCTCCTCACTGGCATGTGTTCCGCCTTATTGTACCTTTTCTTGGGAGCAACGTGTCTTGAACCTATTTTGAGATGCACGTACTTTCCTCTTCCTTGATGGACTTCATGAGGATCCAATGAGTCCACTGGCAACAGACATGCAAATTTCTTTAATGTCGGTGTTCTTGCTTCTGGACTCCTTTCCTTGTATAGAATGAAGGCACTGACAATTCACACATCAAGGATTTGCCAGAAGATCCGCAACCACCACTTTTGACTCTTTCTGTCTATTTCATACAGAGACTTCAGCATGTCAGCTTTGTCCACAAATCTCATGTTTGCATTGTATTGTTTCACAATTTCTGGACATGAAATGTTCTCGGAGGTCCCATCTTTATTCTTTCTTGCCACAGTGTTAACATCATGTGGATCATGAAAGTTTGACAGAAACAGAATGCCTTTTGTCTTTCCACAGCATTGCAGTAATGCCACAGCTGCTGCTCCAAACATCAGATTTGCCTCTTTTCATGTGTCTCTCATTCTTGAAATCTTTTGGCATCCCTACTCTTTGTTTCTTCACTGTGCCACAGGCATAAATTCCGTTGTCCTGTGAGTGGTACAGATGTGAATTGTCAAAATAAACATGGTTTTTTCTTTCAAGATGTTTTGTTAGAACCTGAACCACTCTAGCTCCCAAATTGTTTTCTGTTGTCTGGCCTATTTTTCCAGTATATATCTGAAATTCAGATACACATCCACTGTCATTTGCTCGTACCCATACCTTATACACCATCTTTATGGGTTTCTGAGGTATCAAGTGGCGGAGACTGGAGCGCCCCTTGAATCGAATCATTGATTCGATTGACTTGACTTTTGATGGTTTGAAGCAGTCCTTGAATGTCTTGGACAACATTTCTAACAAGGGACAGATCTTATAGAGTTTGTCATAATTCTGGTCATTTCTTGGTGGCTGAGCATTATTGTCATTCACATGTTAATTGCCAAGGAACCATTCAAAACGATTTCTGCTCATTACTGAAACTATGAACGTGTCTCTAAATCATTGTGTCAGATGATCAACAGTCTTTATAGCTTGGCAATTTTTTAATTCCCATAAGGATATTGATAGCAATCAATTTTTTCATTTCTTTATCATCTGTTGGTTGAAATTGTAGGCCACCACCATACAGATTTGTTTGAAACACTAGATTATTTATGTCATCTGTAAACAGACAATGAAACACATCAATAGGAGATTCACAAGTGTCTGATATATTTGCCCCAAATTTTTCACTAAAATCCCTCACTTCCGATGGCATAACATGTTTCTGCCAGAAAATGGCAAACCTGTTCGCTAGTGGCACATCATCTTCACTGTCACTGTCAGAAGCATATTATATAGGAATGCTACTGGGAGCTAAGTGTTCTGTGGCACGGGACTGCTAAGATCTAAAACTGAGTGTGCTGAAGATGCAATTATATTTTGTGGCACAGGCAACATATCTGTAATGACATCTTTTGTTTCACTATTGGCATCTGAAGTGCACGATTCTGGTTCACTAGGAATTTCATCAAATACCTCCATTATTAATTTGTGAGTCAGTTTCCCCCTTTCAGAAATCTTCCTGATGCCATGATATTCTGCAGCAAACATAATTAAAATGCTCAGTATACCCACTGGTTACAATTTGAAACCAAACATAACTGTCAATATTGCAAGGCATTTTGCATCCAAACCAATGATAATAATACATAATTTTATTAATAACAATATAACCATTGATATTATTACAAAACACTCACCTAATTATTCCAAATAGTAGCAACACAAAATCAAACACTTAGAAGTTCCAACACAACTAACTCTGTAGCGTCAATGCTTCCTTATTCACATGGCTAAAAACCGAGTACCATTGGTGGATACATGATGGCAGCACTATGTACCACGGGCGTCTCCCAAAAATACCACAGGGCAGTGATACTTTGATATTCTAAACTGTGGTTACGACACGAAACCTCAGGGGTTCAAAGGCATAATTAACTTTAACTTAAAATATATTAACTTCAAATGCTGAGGTGAGTTTTTCTAATGGAACAACTACAGCATCTTCTTACAGACTTGTAGACTTCTAGAACTTCCTGATTGCCATCCAGAGAACTGCCTACCTATGAGTTCAGCAATTAATCCAGATATGGGCCTAGAATTGCTCTGCAAAATGTAATGTAAAAATGGCAGCCAAACATACATTCAGTTAGATGATTCCAGGTTTTCATTGTGGTGAGAAGAAAGATGGCTTCTTCTGGGTTGCACCAATATGCAGTCTGGTAAAAGTACCAACATTTCAAGGTCACTGTTGCCTCCATCATAATGATGTTCTCTATCTGAACAGTTACATTTCTTTGCATGAGTTGGCTCTTCTACATCCATGGCACCAGTGTCCATCCACCTCCAAATTACAGCACAGGTCCTGAAGTGAAATTAAAGTACATCACTGCAATGGGTTTGTTATATTTTCGGTACGTGATATGAAATGGATGCACAATAAAAGGCAACAGGTTCCTAAGCGCCATACAGTAAACTTGTTCCATAACAAGCATCAAAAGAGAACAAAATTATTTAAAACCTTTTCCTTCCAAGTACAAACATGATCAAACTAAGTAAAGTATTTCATTAACACCTTGCTATTTCAGTTTACCTGTTTGTTTTCAAACACTGCAACTTCTCTTCTTTCCTGAAAGGAGGAAGTTTAACTGCACACCCATGAAACAAGGTGTCTCCTAAGAAGCCCTTCCTCTGCAAACATGACCATGGGGATGAACAAGTGATGTGTAGATGTAGTTCCACTGGGTCTGGGGTGCACAATAAACAAGAATTAAAATTATGTTAAATGCATTTTCATTATTACAGCCCATAAGGTTCATTGCTAACCATTTACACCCAATATTTCATTACATGAGTAAGCCAATATAGGCAGCTTAGCTCCATAAGAGGCAATCCTAAACACAAGCAATCTATCTGTTGATTTTATTTCTAAATTAAGCACTTTCTCTCATTTTGAAATTCTATTACATTACCTAAATGTATACCACTTTGCAATCTTCGTGAAGAGTACAACCATGATCATTTACACTTTGTTGGATATTTTTTTACAACTTGCAATACAATATCTCAATAAACTGGTATTTATATTCTATATGTACACACAAAATTACTTGAGAACAGTTACGAGGTTCAGGACAGTCCTCTTCTGCGTCGTAGCGTCGAATAAAGATGGCCGTCTTCCACCGTTTTAACGTCAGATGAAAATGGCAGTCTTCTGCTTTGTAACGTCGTGTGATTGGTGGAAATTTAGCGCTACAGGGCACATGTTACAAGAGAGAGAGAGATATGCATGCTGTCTCACTCATCGCCTGATGATAAAACATTGTTTTCATGAAATGCTTTGCAAGTTATGGAAAAAATCTATATAATCACAAAGCAAAATATAAATTTCATGTTGTTTATTTATGAACATATTGCTCATATAAATGCGTGAATATATGATTGCGACACATATCCCAGTGAATGACGAGTTGCAAAAAATAAGTCTATAGGCTACGCCAGAAGTTCCCAAAGTTATTGGCGTCATTGGTTTTTCGGGCGGGGGCTGGGGGGTGCTGTTTGTATGGAAAACTTTTGTTAACGAAATATGGAGACACATTTTTAACATCCTTTGCTTGGTTGAGGCAGTTTAGCATCGGCGGATTTAGGAGGTAAACGGCAATATAAGACTAATTATACCTACGATGAACCTGGAAAACGACCTTAGAGCGGCCATTTCAAAACTCCAACCTCGGTATGATAAGTTATGTTCACAGAAGCAACCACATCCGTCCCACTAATCCAGGTATGAAGCGTATATTTTATTACAGTTTTTAAATTAAAATCATTGAATAATATGTACTAAATTATAAAAAAATCTATACTCGTAGCTAAATTTTATGTCAAATCTGTTTGCTTGCACTTGTTCTGGAAGGGGGCGTGAAATTTATGAAATATTTTAGGGGGGCGCAAGGTATAAAAGTCTGGGAACCTCTGGGCTACGCAATAAAATATAGTTATCATTAAGATTTAGGACGACCTTTACATTCTTTTATTTGGTAAATTATAAAATTCAGGGAAACTAGTTTCTGACTGTGCATTATGATAAACAGCACGGCGAGTAGTTTCACGGAAATAAATTTATATATGCGCTGGGATCTTCAGTATATGACATTTCATGCAATAATTTTGAAGAACATTTTTTTCCCGTCACATCGCGTATTCCACATCCTTAGGATATAATTTCATTCCACGATAAGAGGTCTGCAGTAAGGCTCATTTCCGATCCACATAATAACGAATATAGAAGCATTAGGCTTAATCCTTCACATGCCGACTTTTCTTAGAAAACTTATGTAAGCAGTTGACTGTGTCGGAAGACCGTACCGGAATTTCCAGAAGCGTATATTTTTATCAAAGGATGCGGTCACCTACAGACCAACGTCCTGGAGCGGTGTGGAGCTGCAGAGTCGAGTTGTGACAACAATACGATGGAGCTCTATGCGATTTTTCTCCTGTTCGCCTGTGTATCAGCACAAAAGAAACAACACGCAAGTAAAACTGAAACACAAACTATGCCAAGGGGCCCAGTGGAAAAGCTTCCACTCTTTCTTTTATTCGAGGAGACATCAAGCTGCATTTCAAGGACTGGGTTTATTTTTGTGCGATTCTCAGGCCTTTTAATAAAACGTGGTTACAAGAACGTTTGAAATGAAACAAAATTTAATGCCAGAATGTCAAATTTTTAATACATATTTGTGGACTAATTACAATATTTTCGTGTGTTCTACTGACAACTTCGTTTTCGAAATTTTATAGCTATCTAGTAATATGGTTTAAGCTGGGTTGAACGTGATGGGGATTACTTATTTGCTGTTTTGCTGTGCAGCAACTGATGAAGACACGAAATCCCCAATTAGGATGTATGGTCCTTCGACTGAAATTGTTTCAACACTATTGTTCTGCACACTTTAATTAGGGAAACAAAGAGAGGTCCATTTCAGTACTGAACAACAGTAAACTCTCTGGCAAGAGACCTTAAACACTCTTAACACACCAAAGTTTGGTACAGACATCCTCAACCAGTGCCCTCTACTTGCTACCCTCACTATCTATTTTGTGAACATATAATAAATACTAAGGTATGATGAGATGTCTTTTAATTGCATATTGGAAACGGTATTTTAGAACTGTTAAATGCTAATGGGAAACTGGGCTTTTCCTAACTGATGCCATGAATCAATTTTCCTGATCTGGGAATGTAATGTTTTTTATTCTAGGATTGTGAACAGCAGCCTGAAGTGATACACACATTTGAAAAGCGTAAGTGTGTTTTATTTACCTAGTATTAATTTCACTGCATAGATTACACACCTATCTCATTCTTCTTGTTTGACCACCCTTAAAATGTAATAGCGGAGTATAAATTTAAATTACCTTATAACATAAGTTTTAATTCTTACTTCATATGTCATTGGCCCAAATACCCTTCTCTCCACTTTCTCTCAAGCACTTCAAATCTTTGTTCCTCCCTGATATTGAGAGATTAATTTTCTTTCAGTTAAGACCTGCAAAGACAAAACTTTCACAGCAGATTTTCACAAAGGCATGATGAATACTACATGCCGAAGCCCCGGAGACACAGTTGTGCCCATTGCATCGGACGAGCCTGGCACGCTGGTAAGTGCAGCAATATTTAGATTAATCACACAAAGTTGTATAATTATTCATCTGTAGTCCTTCTTTGTCTAATCATATGAAATGCATTTTATATAAGTTATTTCCAGATCTTGCTGGTTGTAAACATTGTGACTGACTGGGTAGTCTTTTCCAAACGGTTCTGACGATGGTGTATCACAATTAGTATAATTCAATTTGCAACTCCTTCCTTTGCCTTTTATTCTCAGAACACAATGTTTCAGAAATTGAATTTATTTCCATCCTCAGGTGAATATGGCAGGGAGTGACTGAGATTAGCTCTTTCTAATGGACACAACTGAGTATGTGCTACACCACTGTGGACAAAGTCCAGAAAACAAATCATACTACATGACTGGATGATACATTACCTACTCAGTTGTGCTGATGTTTGAAACTATTGACACATCCCTGCCTTGTCTGTAGGGTATAAGCCTACATGAATGTGAGGTTGGAATGAAAGCAGCAGAGTGTACTAACCCTCAACCCTTTCATTACGAAAAAAGACATTTGAACATATGAGGAGTGTACAAATAATACCAGAACTTAATTTTATTTTGTACTTTGTATATGTATTGCAAGAGTATTAACAGCCATATTATTCATTACATACACTCCCCAATTCCGCACATTCTTTCCATCACTTTACGGGTTTTGTAGATCCAGTTGTATATTGCTTTTAAAATCTTCCACAAAGAAATTGTGGACATGCAACTGGACTGTGTTCAAACTTCTGACTTCCCAAGGATTATAAGAAAAGTGTTGAGCACTTCTCATTTCTTCAACACCATTAATTATAGGTACTGATGTAGCAGATATTCACAATGGTGCACCATATGACTTTTCCAGAAATGCAAACACAATGAATACCAATAGGTGTCATATTTTATACTGAAAGCTTCCACATCAGCAAGCAATGTTGTCCTGTCACATATCTGCCAAATTTTGTAATTTTGAGTAACATTAAAGCAACAGAATATGTGTCATTTCATTACAAGTGCAAAAGTAAAGAAGAAAGTTGGTCCTGACATTTATTGAATGCTCATTTACATTTTAACCATTTCACTTATCGCCAATTGTATAGAAATTTATAATGAACTAATACATATCATCACTTGCAGTATACACCAAGTGCTGTGGTAGTCAAGAGGTGTGCAGGGGTGTGTCTGTATCAGTTATCCTGCATTCCAACAGAGAAAATAATGGTTCCTTTCAGTGTGAGTATTACAGTCAGAAGTTCAGAACTGTGTCCAGTCGATAACCTTCCCATCTTGTGGACTGCGTTCTTCTGAGTTATGATGCAATGCAATCACATAGATTGTTGCCAACATTTCAGAGGACCATATTGCCTTCATCTTGAATATGGAGGTAATGTGTTCATCTGGAATGTTGGTTCACCACCTACAAGAGACTATACAATACAGTTGAACACAGTCCAAATTCGTATTGTTGTGAGGACTTCAAATATAATTTTTCCCCATCATTCAACACTATGTAGTATCTGTAATTGAAAGAATATTGTTAAATAACATAATAATCAACTAATACTGTTGAAGGAACATATAATATAAGTGGGTGACACTTGGTAACAATATTGATTCAAATTTGTATGCAGGTACGAAGCCACAGAGAGGGAGAAACAACAACAACATGTGGGACAATTTATGTAGAAGAACACGTGAGATGCAAATGTGACTGCAAGGTTATGGAATCCCACTGCAATCCTGACAGGCAGGTATGGACATATCAGTTTCTGAAATTCAGAGGAATGCTGTGAGTTAAGGAAATGCATAATTATTTTAACGATAGTTATACAAATTATAGGAGTATTAACAAAAGGGCATTGTTTCATAGAAGCAGCTCTAATGTGATGTGTATGACATGGAAAGAGGAGCATAAGAAGAAAAATAAAAGGTCTGTTTGTATTGTCCTGCTGCAGTGGAATTTAAATTTCCAAGACTGTCCCCTTAAACAGTACACTCCAAGAACTGATGCAAATTAATTATAGTCACACACAGTGTGTGACATGTTGAAATATAATTACATGTCTTTTTTGAGAGATGAACAGTAATTACTGGTAACCACAAGTGGTAAGAAATGTGTTTATTATTGTGCATTATGGCTTACATGCAGTCCAATGGATCTTTGTCACACTAACATACCACTAAAGTGATAACTCCAGAGTTAAACTCGGACACAATCCTCTTTTCTTGTTCAATATAGGTTAAGCAATGGGACTACTTTACCTACTATTACGATAGTTGTATTAACAAGGAAATATCCTGGATGCTTCAATACGATTGAATTTTTTTTTCAGGAATACGACAGGCCTGCATGCATGTGCAGGTGTATGAATATGGCCGAGAAAGAGGAATGTGAGAAAAGCGACAGACTGTGGGATCAGAAGGCATGCAAATGTAGGTGCATGGAGGAAGAAGACTGTACCACAGGACTATACTGGGTCCCTTCACTATGCAGGTAAGTGGGCTTGACTGCTACATTAGTAATAACAAAAAAATTAAAAAAAACATTAATAATATAAAGCTTGTTAACTAACTTCAGTTAACAATCAGCTGGTCAATCATTCCCTTCTGTTACATAATAATTCCATCTTTTCCAATTTATAGTAACTCTTCAAATTTGGTAATCACAAGTTTCAGTATCAAAAGTACCAAAATGTCATTGGACACAATTCTGAGCCAGTTTCAACCACTTGTGATTCTCACAACCTATTCCCCTATTATCCATCTTAATGGTGTCCTCATTCTGTCTTCCAAGTAGCCATTTTCCAAGAAGTTTCTCCATCCCAGTTGTATGAGTTTTACACCCTTTTATAAGAAATCACGTGTTATTGTTCTGCTTCCAGGTGTATGAAAATGATGGATGAGGAGAACAATGACATCGAGTGAACATGGCTGAAAGCAATACTTAGAAAGCAAACTGTACTCTCACACAAGTGCTCAGAAATAAATAATATACTGATCTGTACTATAAATATCAACCTGTGACAAGGGAGTTCAAAGACCAAAGGAACATTTCAGATGCATCTGCTTGGCACAATGCAAGCAACAGTGACGGTAACAAATTTAAAGAAATGTTACTCTGTATATTTTGTACCAGCAAAGTTTAGGTTATGTTATTTTGGATCACTTTAATTAATTAAATTTATGTTTGTATCTAGTAAGGAAAAATAATAATAAAAAAATTTGTGATGAAAGACATGTGGGTTGCACACTAAAGAATGTCTGAGCAATGATCACTGTGTTGTAATACTGCACCAATAAAATAATCATGCCTCTTCCTTTCAGGTTTTCCACACAAAATGTTGCATATATTTATCATGTCCACCATATATGCTGTATATTCTTAGGTTCCATGTAATCACACTAATGATATTAGCAACTGTACAAACATCACAGCACAGTACTCAACATTTATCTGCAGTTTCATGTTCAAAAAATAAACCTGAAACCACAGAATAGGTCACATCTGAAAACAGAAACACTGCAATACAAACCACCAAATAAAGATAGAGAGGTGTGGATTTTGTTAACAACATTTCCTTTGAGAGCACAAAAAATGAAGATGTTAAAAAAGTAACCACTGAGGAGTCCAAGCAAAGGAAGATAAACAAAAGACATTACAGAAAGAGAGGATGCAGAACGTGAGAAATGTGTATGAAAGAAGATGTGATAAAAGGAAATCTTATCAATAATGGGAATGACAAAGGATGATGATGTGTTTATTTAAAATGCTCTACCAACTGCATCACTGAACATATGATGATAAACATAAATGGTGAGTTTGCAAGGACATGGATGCAGTCAAAGCATATGTTTTAACCAGGAGTAGCTCAGGAATATCTCAAATGAAGAACAGCATATATATATATATATATATATATATGAAAGCATTTACTGAGTTTTCTCCCACACCCTATCAATAACATTGTTTCTCATATGTGTGTGTGTATGTATATATATACTCACACACATACACAAAGCTTATTACACTATAACTTCTATAATACTGCAACAATACATTAGGCCTTGTTACTGGGGGAAAAAAAACCTTGGGGTTTTTCTCATGGCAATTGCACTTTTTTAGACAATTTACTTTATGGAAGACCGAAATTCTATCAAAGCATACACCTAAACTTATATAAGCTGTTCAATGACAGCATGATAATGTAGTGAGACTTGTCCACTTCATTTTAACAACCTTGAAGTCAAAGGTCGCTTAAAATTCTGGAAGAAAATAAGTAACAATTTTACACATACAGTTTACAATTCTTATCATCTACCTACTTCATTTATACACATAAAAAATTTCAGTTCTTTAATATAAAATTATTCAGACATCCCTCTTGGAACGTAAATTCCATCAAATAGGTCCACAAATAAATCAAACTTACTTTGCAACTACAAGATTGTCAAAACCACATTTGAAGAACTTTCAATCTTGAACACAACATAGCTGGACCTTCTGGCAACACAAATTCAAACTTCATTAGCACATTCTTATAGGACTTAGAATAAAAAGTGTTATCTAAAGAAGAGCACTACTTTACAGAATTCGGCCTGAGACAGCACAAATTGAATTTCTTATACAATAATATGTCCTAGTGGAAAGCACTAATAAAGTTTCATTGTGCATAATACATTTTTGTTTTGTGCGTTCATGATTAAGATACCATACCACTACGGCAATTTTCAGCCTGTGAATGCTGTATGTCATAAAACTGTCCAAAAAATTAATTATGTTGTTTATGACAGAAGGCCAAGGAATTTGGTCTTGTGGAAAGAAGAAACCTTGACCTAGAACATGAGTAAATGTCAATGACATATGTTTGTTACTTCAGTACACAAATTTTAGAAGAAAAATTATGAACTGGATGGAGAATAACTCTGAAGATAGAAACAGACAAAATAAAGTACATTTTGCATTCATGTAGAAATAATATTACTGGATTTCTGCTGTCAGTTATGTGGAGTCCACAATTCTTTGCACAAAGTAACATAAAGTAATCAGAATTTTAGCCAGTGATATCACATCCATCGAAAGTTTTAGATCAAGGATTTCAAAATCAGATGTCTTCTGAAACTATCCATACTAAACTGTAAGTAATTCTAAATTACAAAATACTCCTGTGGTTTTTCTAATCAGTCTTGTCTTTCTGAAGTCCTAATAGAAAATATAATCTCACTTGTTCCAGACGAAATTTTGTCTTAGTACCACAGAAGTTGAGGTACAGCCCACAAATGTTAATAGGTTGAAAATAAGGCAATACTGTCAAAATAAAACAAAACTTGTATTAAGAATCACACCATGTAAATCAGAAATTTTCTTACATAAGTTCAAGTTGTTGTTACCTGATTAATGAATGTGCAGAATTAGAATGACACCCCAGAAAACTGAAAATGTTACCATAATGAACAAAGTCTGACAATTTATAGAACATGAAGATTTAGTTTCTCTTAAAATCTAATTACTTTGCACTAACCATGAAAATAACCTCTCAAATGTGTTAACTTCAAAATGACAAAAATTTTAATTACTGTTAACTGATGGTAAATTGGGATGTGAAAAACAGCAGAATACCAACAGCATCTCTAGACACAAATAGGAAAGAACAATGGGATACAAATAGGTGAAGGGAGCTATAAAAGGAACTGTCTGAAAACAAAATAGCTCTGCAGACTGATGACCTGCATCTCCTGGGATGATGATGCGTATGAAGGATTATGGAAACACACTGATTAGAATGTCCTAATGACAGTTTCATGCTCCACTTCCTTCTTAATGTCATGGCACGTTTGTATGGAAACTGGGTGACATATGGATTGTGGTCTGGATTGTGATGCTGCAAAGTTTTGTACATATTTACTAACATTTCAGAGGAACATAGTGCCTCCACGACAAGTTCTGTGAAACGACAACCACCTACAGGACTATAAACCCAATATATAAAAAGATTTGCTGAAATATACCAGTATAGTTAATATTAGAAGTCAATGACGTTAATCTATGTAAGGGCACATATACATGTGTGCACATGCTACATAAATGTTTGAAGGAATGTTCAAAAAACATCCCTCTTGGAATTTCCAGTTGGAATTGAATATATTAATTTAGCAAAAGTTTCTCAACACAAACAAATGCAACCACTCATGATAATGTCTACAGAATTCTACAAGGCAATGCCATATAGTATCACTCATGATAATGTCTACAGAATTCTAGTACGAAGTCTGACAGCATCATTAAATAAACCATAACTAAATACATTCTATGAGAATTTATAAAAGTCCTTTCTGGAAATAAGCCACTCTGATACAGAATAAAACATCACTTTTTCATAAACAATTGGTCTCCATTGTGAAATAGTGCCTTTACTGATATGATCACTTTATTTCGGGTGGTCACATTAGTGACCACCTGAAAAGACTTGACAAATATTTGCGTGACTGGTAACTTATGCAAGCATGGCTCTGAAGAACATGGTGCTACTACACTGACTTGATACCAGTAAGATCAGCAGCTATACCATCACGACTGAAACTCTCAACATCGTTAAAAAAAAATGAAACACTGTATTATTCCAAAAATAAAGATTGCTTAAACCTTATTGGGAAGTTGCTGCATTTCATGAGGCACTTGGGAGGAACTGGCTTTGCTAGGGCAACTCTACAGTCAAATTACAACTTCTATAAATATTCTTTTCTCACTGTAGAATTCAATATGGCTTCATCAATAGTACACGTAATGAACTGTAAAAATCATCCACCTTTCATGTATGCCATAAATTAGAAAAGTATTCATCTGAATAGATACAAATTTAAAATGCAGAAGCATTGACATCTGTATAGGATGTTTATTATAATATCAATACAAATTTAGTTATGAGAGGCAGGCAGAAAACCAAGATAGGAAGGAACATAGAGACCCTGTTTTTGTACAACAAAGCATTAAGGCAACAGTTAACATCTCCAATATTTACTGCCTGAGTTGGGTGAACAGTAATGAGGTGATAACTATGGTAGTGGGTGTGAAAACTCAATAATGTCCATCAACCCCATGCACTGGAAAAATAGTCTTTCTGCCAGTAAACATTCAATTTCTCATATGATTATAAAACATTCTAATCTGACAATCTCGGACTAGAACCCAAACATTCAACAGCACTACTAACAAGTTTTGCCACTGCACATAATCCAGAACCAGTATGATCCATCACCCAATCTCAAACCATATTTATCCAGCTTATCATCATCGTCCTGTCTCAGTCTTTCAAGATGTCTGCTCTATCTCATCTGAACTACATTTCCATTCCACTATACACTCAATGATTTCACAACCACAACAAAAACTAGATAACTTGTATGAATCACGATGTTTCTAATCTAATCCTATAAATTTCCCACTTCATCTTACTTTCATGAGTACTTTGCTTTTCAGACACTTGCTATGCATGCTCTTCCGTGCTATCCAGTGAAGGGTTTCAGTTTTACAGTTCAAACTCACTCACTGTATGAGAGTTGCCCTGTACCAGGTCCCTCAACTCTGTAGGCCTCTGCATCACTGGTCCCTTTCAAGACGACTCCAGTTATTTTTATTAAATTCATATTATCTTTGCTTTTAAATTAATAAATTATAGTTTATACATTATATATGAAACAAATCAAGTTTGAAAATAAATTCAAGTGTCCTGAATCTGTTCTTCACACATTTAAGTTCTGAGTGGTGTTTAACCTCAGTGGAATTCAATGCAGTAACAACCAATGTCTGAACTACTAGTTACATCTTCCAGCCTGACTATTACTTCAACACCATTCTGCCATTACAGTTATTGCACTTGTATCAACTTATATATGATAATATCAAGAAAAAGATTAGCATAACACTTTCAGTGTTACAACAAATGAAACTTCTAACATGATCAGTGCACTTATGTATTATGAATACAACTGGACTGTAACAATGAGCCAGGACAGCCAAATCACATGAATGACTGTGGGCTGAGTGTCTGGGGATCGTTTCCTGGCAGAGGTAGGATTTTTCTCTTCTTATTTCCAGACTTGCTCTGGGGTCAATCAGGCCTCTGTCCCTCATGATTGAGCATGCACAGTGGGAACTTGAATATTCATTCCAGTTAATGTTACTCCCAGTACGTCTTCAGTGTGTGGGGTTTAGTCATATGGCAACCTTCCTTTTACAATTACGGCAAAAGAGATATTTCTATCCAATTAGAAATACAGGCTTAAGCAATGCTTGCAGGGCAGGGAATTATATATTAGTAGTTCAAACTGTGTCCATACAGAAGTGCAGGAGATCAGTAACTATTAAACACAAGCAAGATTCAGCCAACCCATTTCCTGTCTGCAGGAAAGTATTAATGGCAATGCCACAAGTTCTGTTTCAATTTTAGTAACAATCACTTCTCTCTAAAAGACAGATTTGAACTAATCAATTTTGATTTGTTTCAAATAGAAATGCATTCAAATGCAACTTGGTTGCTTTATCATTTGGAGTATTGTTCATTCTTTACATAAATACATGTAACAACTTAACAAGTTCAAGTCTCTGTAAAAAATCAGACCTAATACAACATTTATGAAAAACTGGCATGCATTAAAACTGCAATAATATCTGCACTCATACAAAGTGTTAACTTTTAACTACAAGCAACTACCTAAATCCACAATTTTATTGAGTAGGAAATACTGAATGTGCTCCCAGTTTCTAGGGTGGCACCAGTACAGTCTGCAACAGGTATCGCGTTACCAAGGAGATCACAGTCCTGCACTATTACAACAAACAACTAAACTTACCACAGTAAAAAACAATATCCAGTAAGTCAGAAAGAGGTCTGCATATAACAACACAAAAACTAAATAAAATGTGAAACTCCATACAGTGGAATCCCATTTCAAATCAACTTACATTCCATTAACCCCAACTAAAACTTCACTATATACAAAGTAAAAATACTTTGATTTTTAAGTACTTTATTGTGTGATATATTTCATTATTAAGTACGAAGTTCTGAGAATCCATATCACAATTTCTGCATTTCATTGTTCTTGTAAAACAGATTTGAGTTTTTACAGCAGAGAAAATGTGGATTCAGGTTGTGAAAATACAATAAAAATAAATGGAAACTGTTCATGAAGAATGGTAAGTAAACATTCTGAATCAGATTAATTCAACAAAAAGCACAGACCATCCTTTAAACAGTTTCATCTAAATAAAAAAAACTTCCCTTCTATTTACTCTAAGTTGTTGTTCCATTAATGAGTACATAAATTTAAGGTCTCCAAAAACACATAATAATGAGATTTAACTATAGTGTGCTTAAAAGTAGAAGACAATGTACACTGTTGCCCATAAAATCTTGTATGGACAAGAAGTTCTTTGAACAGTTCATCTGTCTGGAAGTTACAATAATTCACAGATAAAACAGAGTTATCTGTTTACTTCTTAAACCACAACAGTATAATTTTATTGTTTGAACATTAACACTGCTTGTGTTTCAACCCTGTAGGCCATTGACAGAGGATGCATCCATTATTTTCTACAGTTAGATATAAATCTTAAAATAAATTTTGTGTTTGCATAAATACTGTAAAGGCTACAGTTAAATATAAATGGAAGTAGTTGTAAGTAAACTAAGCCCAGATAAAAACCTATAATTAAAGTTAGTTTCAGCTATTATTACAGCAATGGAAAGCCACTAATATGTAAGTCAATTTTGATTGGTAAAATCTTGGTAAACAAGCAATTAGGAATTTTATTCTTACTAATTTAGTGGCATTAACCAGAGCTGAAAATTCCTACCAATTTAGTGACAATAATTAGAGTTGTAATTTTTGATTACTTGGCACACCTTACTTTTCTGAATTTATTATCATGACTGTTATTGTTATTAATATTTTAGTATGTGATGTAGGAAAGGTACATCATACTAGGATGAAGACAAACCAGACATCATAACATGTACTTTGTAAATTGAATTTATGCATTTTTTTACATGCATGGTGTTATACGAATAACACAATACAAGTAGAAAATGCACTGGATATAAATTCAAAGTTTTCTTTGGTGTTTAAGAAAATCTTACTATTTAGAAAACATTTCAAAGTTATGTTTCTAAGTTACTGTAAAATGTCTGCAGATCTATGGATAATAGTGCTGTCAAAACAACATATCAGATATTCCCACAGAAACAATATTGAAGTGTTGATCAGATTTTGTGTTCTAAATGATGTCTCAGAAGATCCAAATGGCTGAATGTTATGAGTTATATGGAAATGGTTTACAGTATTGCTTGTTTTCCACTTTGTCATGCTCTGAGATCATTCAGGTTCCTGTGTTTTCACTGGCTGTTAAAAAAAATTTCTGAGATGAAACATTCCATTGTAAAAGTGCATTACTCACACAAAATTAATTGTAGCTGCTATAAGATATGTTATAGCTGAAGATGACATTATTACATAGATTTGCATACATTGCAGACATTTTAAATCTGATAATCCACTGAGATGTGCATAATGATGAATTAGTTAGATAAAGATGTGTCTGTGTATGTAAAAAATGAGTGTAATTGTGTTACTATAATATTTTGTGTTAAATCCTAAAAATAGCAAAAAGAAATAAATTAGAAAGATTTATGCAACAAAAATAAAAATTACTGTAAGTATCTGACAATACTGAGATACATTAACATCTGAACACCAGGTTGCAGTACAGCACTGGATTCACACAACACCTATCATCACAAAAATGCAGTTCAGAAAATGCCACAATAAACAGGAACCTAACAACAGTGAAAAATGAAGCAGTATCAAGTTATTCAAATACCATTGGTGAGATAACAGACTGCAGCAGACCAAGCTTACGAGGTTGAATACTGGCTGAAGTACATATTTTTATCCCAGACTCTTACTTCATCTTATTTAAATTCGCCAATATTAATGTATTAGTAACATATAAGAGGATTAAGATAATTTATAGTGTTAGTCCACAACATGTTAACAGTAAGAAATTTTACAAATCAACTACTGGTTACTTCACTTTCAGCACCAAGCTTTAAATTTCAAGCTACTTCAAAAGTTGGTCTCACACGGATTCAACAAATACATAAAAATGTAATAATGTGTTTTCTAAACTCTTGAGTAAAAATAATGCTTACATTTTTATTATTTCAAATTTTGTAGTGTAGGAGTGCACATATGGCATCGCAAAATGAAAGAATGGATAAACAGTATGGTATGAAGTAAATAAAATTCCCACACAAGAAACTGTCATAGTTCTATGATATTTACAAACAAACACAATTGCATCAACTTTATGAACTTCTTGGACTGGAAGCAGTGAGCACAATTTGGACTTTTAACATCTGTCAGTTTCAAAAAGACCAAGTCTGTGTTTGTTGTGTGTGGCATAACAAGTGCCGATCTAAGCCAACTTCATTCTGTGATTAAAGGCACAGTGCTGTTGACAATGACAATGGCAGAAGAAGTCTGAATGAGGTCAAGGGTGGCAGAAGACTGATGAAGCAGCAAACCAGTTCCAGTTTTATCAAATATGTCACCAAATTCTCTTCTAATAATGTTCAAAATGGTCACAAAAGTATTAATTTTTTGCAATTTAGTCTCATGAACCTCTTTCTGGCAAGCATGTGTTCCTATCTCAACCATCCCAACTTGGAAATTCTACACACACAAATTATGCTAAACCTTCTCCCAAATTAACAGAATTAGTGTTACCAAACAATTTTATAACATAAAATGAAGTTAATGATGCTTAGATTATTTATCACCATCACTATAATAACTTTCTATGTTAAATTACATAGTGAAAGATCTTAACAAAATGTCTATGTACTTCTCTTTAAGCCACTTGTTTAAAATTCCACTGATATAAACTGCACATTAAAGTCTGAGTAATTAAGATTTGACTACGTCTCAATTTGAATGTTAAGTTGAATTACTGCTTCAAGTGGTTCACTGTTATGTTCACATTCTTACAGATGCTGCAATGTTTGCATAAAACCAAAACAGTATTTCAAAGCTCCTTCATAAAAGCTAGTAACCCCCACAACATTCATTAACATCTCACCTACTGTGCGATGCCCAATTCTACCCCAGTTTCACATGGGGCCACTGCTGTACACAAAGCACTCAACTTCACAAGTTTAGTACAAAACGTAAAAAGAAGCAATGATATACAGTTTGATTATACGACAGAATGTGCATGAATTTTCACAAAGTAGCAATCTTGTCTTATACAACTGGGACTGATCTACTTTAGAATAAACTGAAACCAGTAATACAACATCTAATAATTTGTAGATTAAACAAAAGACTAACTTTCTTAAAATTTTAAATAAGTAGCTCACAGGTGAACATGCCTGCAGAAGTTCTTATAACCAATGGTGAAATGCAGACAAACCATAATTTATTCTACTGGGTCATCATCAAGACAAACCCAACAGTTCTTTCAATAACATTTATATTTATGTTCTCACATCAAACTCCTGCCATTTCTTGGATGTCACATAAACATTTAGGAGTTCATTCACAACCAAATCACATCTGTTAATAAAAATCTTCATACTGTAATGATAAACAGATGCACTTTGAAACAAAGTAATTGTGACTAAATTTATATCAAATTTATTTGAACTAGATTGCTACAACATACTAAAAGTATGCTGACTGATAAAGTGGAGGTGTTAAAGCACCATACCAGTAAGATGGATGACAAGAGTGGAGATAAAGTCAACTCACTTTCTAACTTTGGCATTAGATGGAGGTGACTGATCACCCTCACAGTCAGACATTTTATCCACTAGAATATCCCATTTTAGTCACTGGAAAAGAGGCTGAATAGGGTCAAGCACTAGTCTGGACATGGTGGCAAACAGAGAAATACCTAGCCCTGTTAGGAATTTAACTTGTTTTCCAGCCGAAGGCTGGTTACTTTATTGACTGAGCTACCCCAGATTTCTAGCTCTGCACCAAATATTATTTATAAGCCTACGATAAACCACCTCATATATTTGTATATCTTCTAAGCACTTAAGTGTCTATTACTTGAATACAGAAATATTTATACCTATCCAGTGACAACTCATGATTTCACAGAACTGTGGGAACACAGCTACTATAATTTCTGGTATTGTACAACTTAAATCAGGCACAGTGTTATAATGCAAGAATGCTACTTGCCCTGGTTCCTACTCTATTATGTTACCTTCTACCTGCTACATACTCATGAGCATTGTTGAGGCTGCAGCCTCATCAGTTTGCGGCACCTGGTTCTCGTGGATGAGAGCCAGTTTTTGGACGGTCAGAGGCGATCTCTGCAGAAGTTTTCCCAGCGGGCATCATCTGACTCATGTGTCAAATAGCGGTTTCCAACCTGAGTCTCCAGTTTCCTCAGATCACACCATGTCTGGTAGTCCTGACATATAACAGTGCATAATTCACAGAAAAGTGTTATCACAAAAATATATGAGTTGCATGACATTCAGCACCTTGGTATTGCAGCCTACCATGACAAAATGATGGCAGACAATCGGAGAATTTGTCAAATGACATTATTTGGCATGGAGAAACCAAAGTACAGTACTTAGAACATTTTCCAGTGCTGCCCTAGGATTGAACCCAGGCCCATGCAGTGGAAAGCTGATGTGGTATTATAAAATGTTGATCACTCACCTGTAACCAGACATGTGCAAGTGATTTGGCAACAGTGTACCGTTTCCTCTGTTTCACTTGTAGCAAGTTGTTGATTAGATCAATAGCTGCCAACATAAAACACATGCCACGTCCTTTAAAAATTCAACATTTTTATTACAATTCATAAGGTGTATATAACAAATTCTTTAATATTGATAATGCTCATAAGTTTCTGTCTTTCCTCATAGCTTATATTTAGTTCGTATCTACAGCTTAATCAAAATCTGGTTTGATGGCTGGCAAGTCAACTGATTCTGGTAACTGGGAGAAGGGGTACAATAGTACAGACAAGATCCCAAAAGAGGAACACAAATCCTTACATTTTGGGAAATACTGGACTATCATAATAATTACGATGATAGATTTACTTACCATCTGAAGAAATTTCCTTCCAGGGATTTGGTGGATACATGAATGCTGCATTCTGAATTTGTTCATTGATATCTTCATCTTCATTGAAGGGAAACGTCCCACTGAGGCTAACATACACAATTACACCAACACTCCACATATCCAGTGAGCGATCATAGCCCTTGTTACGAAGTACTTCTGGGGCTGTTCAAGAGAAAGAGTAATTAAGAGGTGCACAAGTAATGCACACAAAGAGGAGCTGCTAACTATTTTTACTTTGTACTGGTTTATTTAATGACAAATTCACAGGTTTTATATATACAGAGAAAGAGAAACAAAGACAACACAAATAAATAAAATTAGTTTTCTTCTCCCCACAACTCACCAAGATAGGCAGGAGTGCCAACCACTGAGCGTCGAAAAGACTTCTCACCAATAATTCTAGCAAAGCCAAAGTCACAGAGCTTCACTTGAGGAAAGTCTGAATCAGAGCTCAGAAGGACATTCTCTGGCTTTAGGTCACAGTGCACAATGTTCTCACTGTGGAGATGTTTCAAAGCCACCAGAATCTAAAGCACATGACAAGAGTGAACAAACATTAGGCAGTTCACAGGCACCTAGAGGATTTCAATGTGGCTTGTAGCTAATATTTTAGTATTTTCTACTAAACTGTTTTGTCTGGTGAGGATACCAAGTTAATATACCTGTGTGATGAGGAACTTGGTAATACGCTCACTGAGCCTCCCATTCTGACTGGATAATATCATCTCTAACATGTCTCCTTTCAGCTTCTCCATCACCACATAGATACGCTCCGATGTCTCAAACATGCGCTCCAAGTTTACAACCCCACAATGTGACAGGTTCTGTAAGATTGACACCTCATTCTTCAGTTGCGCCTCCTGTTTTGTGGGAAACCTCATTTTATCAATCACTTTAATTGCCACAGAACGACCCGATTTGCGATGCACACCTGAAATAAATAACAAAAACAGGCCATTTAGTTTTACTGTTCATTCTTTGCAAAAAGTGCACAAAATAAACACATAAGTAGAGACTCAATCACTGTTTGTCTCACCAATATGAACCAGGTGAATTTACACCTGACAACTTTCAGCATACAACCTAAGTACCAAATTTCATCAAAATCAATAAGTTGTTTTTGAGAGACAGTGTATACCCATTATGAGTTCATCTTATGTATTAAAGAATGATCAAAAACTTTAAATCACATTTTAACTAACTGGAGTATAAAATTTCCCAACCTCCATATACGATCCCAAATTGCCCAGAGCCGAGAACCTCGTCTGCAAAGATCTGGTACAGTTGACTCATGTCTGTAACTCTCTCCTCCGGTTCATCTGATATGTCACCCTCTAAAACAAAGATATTCATAATGTGAAGAATCTATCAATCACCAATATAACACTTAATTTGTTCTATTGTGACTCCTATATTCAAATCAGTCAATGTCTGCATGTAATTTCTCATTAATTTCTTCCCCCATGCAAATATTAATATCCAATCATCCATCCAACTATGTTTTGCTTCATACTTGTATTAATGTGCCATTTGTATAAGAAGTATTGAAACTATTAGAAATCTATAGTATCTACCAGAGATTTCACAAATGCAAAGGATATGAAGCACTACCAAAAATTGAAAATAATTACAGAAACCTTCCAACCAACAGACTGTGTGCTTGTGATGATGGTCCTCAATGTACGAATGTGGCATACAGTCTGTTTGTGCAGTCTCGCAGGAAGTCTACATATTTCCAAATTACCTACTTGGATGTGATGTGACAGGCATGAGAGCTTGTCGGATGCTGGTCTCCCAGCTCTTGGCAAGGTGTGCCCCAACTCCACTGTCAGCAGGTGGAAGGGTAATTCTTGACGCATCCTTCTGCCCATACAGAGGGTCTTCTCCCACATAATAATCAACATTGGCTGTTCGAAGTTCAAAACAATGCATCACATCTGAAACATGAGTACACAGTGTTACTCTCCGTAACACCATCTTCTCCAGATATTCTGCGGCTGCCCTTGACCCTGCAAACAACTTCACACAACTGTGATATGGGAGGTGTCGCACATTTTCCAAATGTGGTCTTTCTGTTCCTGCACATATTGCTGGCCTTAATGTTTATTTAATGCAGATAAAAGTCTACTGATATCAAGTGTATTACTACATAGGTAAAACACTTTCATTAAGATAAGTGTATTACTACATAGGTAAAACACTGCATTAAGAGTAAAATCTTATGTTTAATTATGTTTTTTTAACTATATCAAAATCTAGCTTAAGAAAGATGACGATTGTAAATAAAATCTTATGTTTAATTATGTTTTTTAACTTTTAACTATATCAAAAGCTAGCTCAAGAAAGATGACGATTGTAAAGAAATCTATATTTTATGATATGGACCAATGTTGATTACCATTAAAAGTCAATTATATTTTATGATATGGACCAATGTTGGTCACCATTAAAACTGAATACAGCTTCATAAATTAAGGGTTATACCAGACTAATATGAGCCAGGGTAGCTCAGTCAGTGTAGTGACTGGCTACAGACGGCTGGGGTTTGATCCCCAACGGGGGCAGAGGATGTCCTTTAGCCTCTGCATCCAGACCGGCTCTGGGGTCCTTTCCCAGAGGAAAGGTGTGGCCAGGGTGTGATGCTGACCATTAACCCCCTCTAGTGCCAAGACTGAGAATGAGTAGAGCCCACATGGCATAGAGTGAGACAACTTTGCTTTACTTTACTTTATACCAGACTGATATGAACCAAAGTTAAATCTGTATATCAAACTATAGTTTAGATGTCCATTATAAAGTTTAAATTAAATTTGTCAAGTAGTGAAACATGTAGACACAAGGACATGTCTTCCCCATGCTATCATTTAATTCACTTCATGCACATAACACATAAAGATGATTGTATAATTATTGTGCTTTTTTCGTTTCTTAGTTATTTAATAAAATTGTCTCTACTGAATAGAATATACTGAATAAAATGATATATGAGGATGATTATACAAAAATAGTTAGTGGGAAAGTACCCTCCTGGCTTTTGCAGACTAATTACTACATGTCTTCTGCATAGAAAAAGAAGGTATCTATTACAACAATACAATGAAACTAAAATAAATTTGTCCAAAACAGATCATAAAAAAACTGTCACATTACATTACATGACGTTATATACAGCATGTATACAACTTTTATTTTAATAATTTCAAAGTGCTGGACATTTAATGATGCAAAAGAATAAATCTTTCCTGGCAGTACAGTGTGTTATCTGTAGGGCAATAAATAATGTAACAATAGATCTGTATCTGTAATAAATGAACATCAATGAAGTACATAAAATCACATTTCAAAACATGGGAACTCCACTGAAGCAAACCTTTCCACTCCTGTTATTCTACATAATGATTCAACTTCACCCACCTCCATGAAGACTTCGAGCAGTATCAACTGACAGGATCTCAGCAAGTGGAATTTCCTTGTAGTATTTGGAGCCTGTGTCACTCTGAAACAGAGTCACTGACTTGGTGTCCAGGCGCCAGTAGTGACGCTTGCGCTGCAACACGAGACATTTATTCTTAATTCTCCTCTTCAACTTCATACAGTACGTCCCATATTCAATTCAACATTCAACTCACCATGCGGTCCTTGTTGGTAAAGTGTACCATCCAACCTTCCTTAATAACCTTTGATCCTCGTCGCTTGGTGTGCTTCACTGACTGCACAATGCGCATGAGGGGAATATTGTTACTTGGCGAAGAGCTGTCAACAAACACATTACAATGCCTAGATCAGTGGCAAGAACATTGTTTCCTCTAGTATGATGAATCAAATGAAAATTGTGTCTACAGCCCTACATCTAATTGCAATTATCATTAACGAGTGTCATTTACATCACATTTAACAGACGCGAAATATCACTACTCTTATGTATCAGATGACTAGTTGTAATTAAACCAACAAATCTGTAAAATTATATGTTATACCTACTTCCAATCACAAACGCTTGTCTGGTGATGCATATTTTCTACTTTATTCAGCTAAGAAAAAATTCAAACAACTTTTATAAGATTTATGTTTTACAATTATATTTCCAATCAGATAACAAGCATAGAACCAAACTCTGTTTTCAAGTGGTTAGCACTCCTGCTTCACATTCAAGTAGTCCCAAGTTCAAACCTCAGACCAGAGATTGTCTATCCTGCCTGAAGTTTTTCATAGTATTTGAGGTTCTCACAGTGCTGAGTACAAAAATGGCAGTCTTCTGGGTTATAGCACCAGACTACATATTAGACTACTGTACAAGACTAGGCAGGCTATGGAGCCATGTAGTCCGATAGACATTTATTAATGTTTCGGAGGTCTTTGTCGCTTTCATGTACTTCTGCAACATTAGTCATCTTCTACCAGACTACATCCTATTCAACTACACTTTCACATCAAATACGTAAACAAAATAATGATATTTTCACCTGGTCAATCGTTTCATAGGATCTCCTTCATCATGTCCTGGAATCATATCCTGAAACAAAGTAAATCTGCAGAAGCAAGCAATTCCAAAGTAAACAAAAAGAATATCATTCTACCTATAATTAACACAAGTAAAATCATATGAACTCATTAAAATATTACATACTGAGACAGATCTGATCCCGAGATTTTTAACAAATACACTAAAATCCCTACAGATTATCACTGTCTGATGAATTTCCCACTCAGAATGTTCTGAAACAAGGAGGTGCTTTATCAACATTGCTTTCCAAACTTCTTCCAGAATACTCCATTGCGAACTGAAAAGGATACTTCAAATTATTTTTATTTGTTAATAACAGTAATTTATTGGGTAAAAGATACATACCATAAAGGAAAACCTACATAGTAAGAAAACTGGTCTTGAAGTAACACAGAGAAAACTAAGAATATAAGACAAAAACATAATATGATAGCCAATGAAACCTTAAAAAATACAGCAACATTCAAATACTTGGGAATGACAGTACCAAATCTAAATTTCGTGAAGATCAGCTCAGATTATGTACACTTTATTACTACTAAATGAAAGTAATACATTATTCTGAATACTTTAATATGGCAATTCATGAAGTAAAAACTTACTACACATTCTCCATTCATGAGAGGAGGGTCTGGAGATGAAGTTTTGCGAGCACCAGATGGAGAGCCACCATTCTCAGTGTCACTTTCGTCCTCGCAGACATCACGGCACTCTCGATCTACCTCACTACCAACTCCACTATC